TCATTTACAAATCCAGAATTTTAAAAATTCAGTTCTAGAATTAATAAACCAATCCAGAATCCTAAATTCTGTTTTGAAAATGTAAATTTTAAGTTGAAGTTTGTAAATTCCAAAATTTTAGATTTTACAATGTAAGATCTTTGTTTTCAGATATTCTAAAAAGACTTGTAACATCTATGTCTCAAAAATTTTAGTGAAATCGAAATAAAATATAGTGGTGGCAAATATTGAGACATTGCCCCTCCATACAGACTTGTAATGTCTACGTTTCAAAGTTTTTATTGAAACTGGAATAAAATATAGAGTTGGTGGCAAGTGGCAAATGTTGAGACATTGCCCCTCTATACATACTTTTAATATCTATGTTTCAAAATTTGTATTAAAAATGAGATATAGTTGATAGAAGGTGGTAAATATTTGAGTCATTGCCCCTCCATATAGACTTGAAACGTCTAAGTTTCAAAAAAAAAAATGAGTTGGATAAGTTGATGGTGAGTGGTAAATGTAAATATCTCGTCCGGGCTGTGTACCCCCGCCCCATCTTGAAATCTCGCCTTACATTTTACCTTCATGCGTTCTGTCTCAACTTCTCGCTTCTAAAACTAAATGTGGACATTCTGCATCGCATTCTTCACTGTGATATTCAAGTACAGTGTGTATTCGTGTCGTCTGTGTTGTCTACATGTGCCGAATCGCAATGTCTAGCAATTTTCTCTAATAACTAACCAAAAAAAAAACCGTTTTACAGCACACGCTGTATTTTCTACAAGTCGACAATATTGATTCTTTTTGAATGCAAGAATTAGATTTAAGCGGTCGGGCGAACTGATTAGATAAATGAAGAATAAATTTCTCATCTGTATCAATCATGATCTTCCATTCGAAGAAATTGGATCTGTTTTATGTAAACGAAAGTTCCTTGAAAAATTTCACATAAAACAGATGATCTGTATCATATCCATTCGGGGTGCTCTCAGTCCATTTTTCTCATTAGACTGAACTTTCAAACAATAACTTTCTCGATGTTGCTACAAGTATTTAGACTCACGTTCATCACGATTTTTCCGTTGGTGGTTAAGTGTTTTTTTATCATTTAACGATTTGCTGGTAAAGTCGTACAAACTTCTCTAGATTATATTCTATTATTGTAATTTGTATGTAATATAGGCGTATTTGTCTTTTTTAATTTTATAAACTTTCGTTTTCACAAACAATGACCAAGCATGTAACTAATGTAATCACAAATTAACGTAAAAATTTATGTAAATGCATAATGTTAATACGTAATTGTAAAAAATAAATGCAAGTCCTTGTTACCTAGGACTAATTTAAAACAAAATATTGTATTCTTGTTAAATCGGCCAATCTCATTTTCAGATTGGTCGGTTACTCTGTTGTAAATAACATATTTGCTGTAAAAATTATCTTACATTTTTCGATTTTTCATTATAACTTGGACCATAGATTTGAATTTGATTTGTTAGCCTATCAAAATGCCTCACGGCCATTGTTACAATTCGACATTTTTATAGGCTATTTACTGTTGATTTGTTACTGGACTGTGCTCCTTGTGACATTTTATTTGTCAAATATACGCATCACAAACATCACAGTTGTTTCACAACTTTCACAACACCTCTAGTACAAGGTAAGTCACGTGACGGCCCTACTTTAGTGACCACAATGAAAGGAACATAAAAAAATAATGATTTCTAATTTTTTATAAGTATTCTAACATTGTACTGCTTTTCAACCTACACTTCATGTTCCTACAATTTTATCAAAACAAGCTAAAATTGTGGACAAAATATTGTATTTAATGATTTTAAAGTTTCAGATCTTACAGAATTCTAGAATCTAGAGTTATATAAGATTCTGGAGATTCTATTTAAAGATTTAGAATCCGAAAACATTCACATTAATCCAAAAATTGAAATTGTATTAAATTTTTTTTAGCCATTTTGCTCCTGATTCTGAAATTGTGATTATAAATTTCAAAATAAGCGGCACTAAAGTATGATTCTGAAATTTTCCTTAAGTTTTCTAAATCTCCTGCTTCTGAAATTTTAGAGATAACCTTTTTTCGATTCAGAAGTTCTAAATTCTTACTTTTAAAGTTACTCAAGTTGCAAATTTCAGAACTTTTAATTGTAGGTTTCTAAAATTTTCATTATTTGTTTTATTCTAATTGATCTATTTATTGCATTAATTGTTTCACACTAAAAAAAATTGTGTAATTTTTTTTTTAAATCATTGCAAACTACGATTAAAAAATCGGAATTCATTAATCGACAAAGTGCGCAATTTATTAATTACAAATCCTAAGCAATCAGTTCTAAAATTTTAAGTTCAACATTTCTAGAATTAATAAATCAGAATTAGAAATTTTAGTTCCGAAAATGTAAATTTTGAAAATTAAAGATTGTAGATTCCAAAATTTTAGATTTTCTGTTATTCTAAAAGTTTCTAAAATTCTAAAAATTTCTAAAGTTATAGATCTAAATTTGATATTCAATGTTTCCAAAATTTCTACAATTTTTCTAGTAATTAATTAACAAAAAAAAAATATTTTTTATTTAATTACCTCATTTTCAAAGAGGCGGCAAATCCAATTTCAATAATTCAAACCACTCAATTACCTCCAAACCCAACAATTATTCAAATGTACAATTTTAAGTAATTATTCTAAATTATTGTGCAAACCGTAATTACTTAATAAGGTCACATATTTTATTAAACTTCCGCCTATATAAACCTTAGACATTCCAAATTAACCGAAACAAAATGAAAGAAAGCAATATTCTATCATTCCCTCTCAAGTTATATTTTTTATTCGGTTACCACCCTGATTGTAACCCAAAATTTCGAAAGTTGGCACTTCTGACAGGAATATGGATGTACGCATTTCCGTTCTATTTATCAATCAAAGGAATTTTATTTTACCGAAAAACTGATTTTTTACTCATGCTTGAGTGCCTCGAAGCGGCGTTTCTGTTTGGAGAAGTAAAATATAGTATACAAGGTGATTCAATAAAATTGTATGTTTTTCTTTTCAGCCATTATTTCGACACTTGGCAATTCACTATAATATGAATAACTTGAAAAAAGTCCTAAATTTGAGGCAAAAAGCCCAAATTAGTGATTTAGATGAAGAAAGTTTGTTTTACTACAAGTTGGGCAAAACCGTCACTTTTAATTATATGATTGTCGGTTTTGTGGTACTTTTCGGTTTTTGCGTCCAACCCTTCATTAGTGGTAAATTACCTGCAACTACATACATACCTGATGGTTATTTTGTAACCTTTTGCATTTATTATACCCTATCTGGATGTTACGTCGTGGTTACAGTTGTAACAACCGACGCGCTTTTTTGCTCCCTCTGTACTACAGGAATCGTCAATTTTAAAATGTTAAAACACAAGATAAAAAATATTAAGAGAGAAAACTTGACCAATGAATTGAAAAAAATAGTTGACCAACAAAATTTTTTACTGGGGTACATACAATTTTTTATTTTTATTTTTTTTGGAAAACTGATTTTATTTCATATACATTTTTCAGGTACTGTGAGGCACTTAATAATATGTACAGTGACGTTTTCGTGGTCTATTTTTGCTTTTCCATAGGTGCGATTTGTATGCAAACCTATATTTCGACCAATGAGTAACAAACACTAGCACCAACTTAATAAAAATGAAATTACTATATTTCCAGCCAACTCGAATCGCCAATCAGGATCAAAACCTCGATTTACGCAATTGGACTTTTTGCCCAATCAATTCTCTACAGTATTGCGGCCGAAAATGTCCTCTCATCGGTATATAGCTTGAAATTTAGGTACTAGATGGCGCTATAATTTTTTTTCAAGGCCTCTGAGATTGGCGACGCTGCGTATGACTCACCTTGGTACAGGTTTAGTGACAATGAGTATACCAAAAGTTTGGTTTTGATCATTTGTAAGGCACAAAGAAAGATTATTTTTAGTGGGCGTGGTTTAGTGACAATTAATTTTACGACACTCACAGTGGTATGGATTTTGAGCAGTTTTTCACATTTTTTGCATTTTTTTTTAGATAATCAAAACGGCTGTGTCGTTTTATGCCTACTTGAATTCGTTAGGAAGTGGCTAATGTTTAGAACTTTAGTAACTCTAGAAATTCTAATTCTAGAAAAATGAGGTTTGGATTTAGAAAACTAAATTTAGAATTGCAAAAATTTACAGTAAATCTTTTTTTCTAAAATAACAATACTTTAGTATAATTGTGAAATTCAAAATTTTAGCTCTCTGTAACTACAGCTTCTGATTTCTGATCTTAATTTTTTTGATTCTAACATTTTTTAAATTCTGTTTCTACAAAATTCTAATTTCTAAATTCTATAACAGATTTCTTATTTGAAATTCATGATTTTGGGTTTCTAAAATATCGAAAAGCCTTGTTTTTGGACTACTATTTGAACGATTTCTAAAATTTTAAGTTTTAGATTTCTGATTGCAAGTTTCTAAAATTCTAGAAACATACATTTTTAAAAGTTTGATTCTATTTTTTTCGTTTTTTACATCCTAAATATTTTTATTAAATGTTAGA